AGGCTCTGTCTCAAAAAAAAAAAAAAAAAAAAGATATTATTTCTTAAAAATAAGGTCTGTATTAGGAAATTACACAAATCATATATTTCCAATCACCTTATCACCTCCTGAGAAAATTCAGCTCCGCAATTGTCCTCATCTGATACCTACATGAGAAAATCTGGACTTCCACTCATCAAGGCCTTGATAGAATTTTTAGTATGTAATGACAGAAACAGAAATCAGCAATGGAGCAATTTGTTGAAAGTGGTTATTTTCAGAGGTAAGAGCAAAAATAGTTGGACTAGAGAAAATCCTACAAGCCCTGACCTTTTTAGTAAACAGCATCAGATGTTGAGGTTACATTGCAAAAATTAACCTAAGGTTAGGAAGTCCACTACAGTAATAGATATGTGTATAACTTCTTCTAGTTTGAGATACCACATTAAGAAAACAACAAGGCAAAAAGAAGAAGAACCCCTAGGATAGAAAATAGAACATTCACTGATGGCTTAACCAGAAAGAAAAAAAAAATAGGTTCACCTTAGAGAATAGGCACATTGTCATGAAGTGCCATTAATTCTATTTTTCAAATGAAATGGCAATAGAACATGCTTTATTTAAAATAATTACACTTGGCTCAGTGCCCATAGCACAGTGGTTACTGCACCAGCCACGTGCACGGAGGCTGGCAGGTTCAAACCCAGCCCAAGCCTGCTGAACTATGATAACTGCAACAACAAAAAATAGCTGGGCATTGTGGCGGGCACCTGTAGCCCCAGCTACTTGGGAGGCTGAGGCAAGAAAATCGCTTAAGCCCAAGAGTTGGAGGTTGCTGTGAGCTGTGATGCTACAGCACTCTAGCGAGGGCGACAATATATAACTCTGTCTCAAAAAAAAAAAAAAAAAGACGATTATAGTTGCTTACTAAGTTAACTGACACCCTACCTTGATGGAAGTTACTACCTTATTTTTATTGTTAAACATTAAGCCAGTTTTATGACTTCCCAGAGAATAACCTCTATTCACCTGGATTGTAGTTATTTGGGTCCACTGAACTTAACCTCAACATAGACAGCTGTGACTGTGCTATGTGGAGTAGAATGTAGGGGACTCTGTTTAATTTAAAGCAAAATCGCAGTCGTAAAACTAGCTATCTCCTTCCAAACTATAGTTATTATTACTTAAGCAAAAATCTACTTCCCACCCAGTCTATTGCCCATATGGGAAAGTGGCCTTTGGGAATTACAGAAATTCTCATTTAAAACAAGAATGTGGATCCACAAAGAAAGGGATCTTGTAGGTTTTGTGTCCTAATTGCTTTTTACAGTAATGTTAGTTATCAAACAATAACCAATCTTATCTCTTCCAAAAATGAAAATTGACCTTTATAATTAAAAAAAAAAAATTACTAAGGAGTTCAGCAAACCTTACTTCTGGTAGTGGGCTGGCCGGTTTGGTTAGGATTCCTCCTACATAAACCACGTTAGGCAGAGTGGGTCTTGGAAACTCTAGGGCTACATCAGTGCACAGCATCCACAGGCTGGACCCATGAACCAAATCATACATGGACTTCTGGGGCAGCAGGTTGTGCTTCTGCATTATCCTTTCATATTTGGGAAGAACGAGAAAGCTGACCCCTAATCTGGAAATGAGGTAAACGCCGGTATTTTTCATCCTTTGCAGCAAGTTCATGCGGTCTGTGAGGAGGGAATTAAACTCTGGAACATAAGCTAATGGAGCTGGAGCTCCCACTTCGGCAGGATACCAAAGGCCGGTTGAAAATACAGCATATTTAACCCCTAAAAGATGAGCTATCACAAACCCACACATATCATTGGGGTCCACCAGCAGCAGGTCAAACTTTTCTTTCTTCAGGTTCTGGATTAGGGCATGGTTGCCAACTATCATGTCACAGTTCTCAGAATAGTGATCCAGTATATCAAACAGTTCGACTGCTGTCGATCTCCCAGAGAAAATATTCCGCATTTTGGACTGCAGGAAAGCATCCGAGGTGGTACTGTTAAAGAGCCCTGGGTAGCGCTGGAGGCTGTAGTGATTAGATGGGGTGATGTCTCTGCCTTCTGAGAGGAGGAACACTGTATTGTGGCCTCTCTCATGCAAGGCTGAGGCCAGCGTCTTGAAAATGTACATATGGCTTTCGAACATAATTGGCGGCACGATGATGATTTTGGCAGCCTTCACTATCCCAACAGCACTCCACAGGAGAATGAAATATGAAGTGTAAGCCTTCATAGCTGTAATGACAACCAAAAAACAACTTAAATCAGAATACAACGCTGACCATTCAAAACAATCACAAAGGTCTTTTTTTCCCCCAAATATATAATGATCTAATACTTTTTCTAAAAGACCACTTTTAAACTTATCCTAATATTTGTTCTAATTGCCTCTTTATTTTTGAAAGAGCAGTTATTTAAGTATAGAATTGGTAGCAACACTGACATAAACTGAAATATATTTAAAAGGGAGCATATCATTTCATCAGTAAAGTAGATATTTTTTAATTGTAAATAAAACTTCTATAAGGTCAAATGACAAACAGTATCTTTTGTTTGAATATCTATGAAGTATCTATGAAACATCTTTTTATCTTCTAATCGAATGTCAAAGTTAATCCCAGAAAGAAGAGCCAAGTTTCTTTTTTTATTTCTACACATATCAGCCTGTGTGTCTCTTTTAATCATTTTATTTCAGTCGTTACATTTCCATTTATATAACCAAGTATGTATACCAAAGGAAGACTATTTAGAAAATAATTATTTTAAATGGTACTTCAGTAATTCCATAGAAAAGATAAAAAAGGTCTTTAACACACATTTTCCCTTTACCTATATACCATCAATAGGCCAGTAGCTCACATCTGTAATCCTATCACTCTGGGAGACCAAGGCAGGAGGAATCTTTGAGATCAGGAGTTGGAGACCAGCCTAAGCAAGAACAAAATCCCACTCCTGTCTCTACTAAAAATAGAAAAAATTCTCCTGGTATTACAGTAGGTGCTATAGTACCAGCTACTCAGGAGACTGAGACATGAAGATCTCTTGAGGTTGCTGTGAGCTAGGCTGACTCCACAGCACTCTAGCCTGGGCAACAGAGTGAGACTTTGTCTAAGTAAATAAATACCATAAATAAACTGACAGTCTATATTTATGTAATTTATATCAATATCCTAAAGCATTACAGGGCATAACCTATAAGAGAAACGTCTAATAGAAAAGTTCAAGAGCATTAAATCTGTTTTAGCAAACGCTTACTGAAGAAGAGACTAATGAATAACTATATCCCAGACCATACTTTTTATGTAGCCCTAATTCAAGATAAATGGCAAATAAGATGATCACTGTACACTTGAAGACTGACCCTTCTCTTACCCTTTCATGTTAAAAGATTATGCTTAATAGTTAAAAGTCATTATGTGGGGACCATATAGTGTGCAAACACTCCCTAACCAGATCAATAAAACTAATATTTAAACTCTAAATTAGACCCCTAATAGAGAAAAGATCTAAATAATTGCCCCTGCAAACTGGACACTTTTATTTCAAGGAATAGCACAAAATAGACTGATTTAGACCTCACCAATTCACTATTTTTACTCATTATCATATATTAGCCACCCAATTTGTACAAATTTCTATCATTGAAAAGCAACTATACCTTCTCAACATTTACATATTTTAAGCAACATGAAAACATCAATAATGTATTCTTCCAACATCAAGACTGAACTATAAAATACATATATTTTCAGATATATTTTCCACTTCTGCTCCACTAAAAGTTTCAAAGTATTTCTAGATAAATTCAAATAATATCATTAAGAATAAATAAAAGTAATGCATTTATAGAGATATAATATTAAATGTTGCTTGATTTATTACAGGGGCTTTAAAACTAAATTTAGAGAAGACAAGTAAGTACAAGGCCAATAAAGGAAGAAAATTAAGTATCTGGTCTTGGAAAAAACCTTTCAAGCCTTTATATTATTGTACCACTACATATATGTGTCTCTCCAATGTTGCCTTCTATCAAGTCTGAAGGAGAAAAAGTATGTATTTTATGTGAACATGTTATGAATTCCAGGGATAAGATTTATGCAAAATCAGATATCCCAGCACCTACAGCCATAGGCATCACTGCTTATCTATTCAAAGAGATATACTTGACAATGGATCAGTTGTAGACAACTGCTCTCCTCACTGGGTTTTGGGTCTAACTTAGCATATAGCAGGTACATGCTGTTCAGGTATAGTTAAAACCATAATTTTATCATAAATAATTAAAAAATAGAATATAATAGTATGGAAACAAATCTTTTCAGTGTTTCATATTTTATTCTTCCTATTTCAATATTATTTTTTCTGTAACTATTATAAAGTAAAAAGAAATCACATAAAATGTTTTTTTTTTTCATTTTAATCACCAACTGCTTATGTTCTAGAATAGCAGTGTCCAACACAACTCTTTGTAATGGGCCTGGCACAGTGGCTCGTGCCTTTAATCCTAAGCACTCTGGGAGACTGAGGCAGGATTGTTCTAGACCAGTCTAAGCAAGAGCAAGACCTGTCTCTAAAAATAGCTGGGCATTGTGGTAAGCTCCTGCAGTCCCAGCTACTTGGGAGGCTAAGGCAGGAGGATTGCTGGAGCCCACGAGTTTGAGGTTGCTGTTAGGTATGATACCGTGGAACTCTATCTACAGCAACAATGTGAGACTTTACCTCAAATCAATCAATCAATCAATTGATAAATAAATAAATGGGAAAAACATCTTTTTATAATGATGAAAATGTTCTGCATCCTTTCTATCCAACATATTCCCACCTATATGTGGGCAAACTAATAAGAATGGTCAAGAGATTCTCAGTTATCTCCCCCACCAGGCACCCATACCTCCTGAAAGTTTTAAATACCAGCAACTATTTTTATACGTTTACCCACTTATTTTACAGAAACACATTGGGAATTATTTGAAAATACATATTTAAATATACAAAAATCCCTATCTTCATGATGCTTGTAATCTATTAAAAGGAGAGAGAAAATCCAAGAAAATAAATAAAAATGAATACTATAAAGCCATTTAAAAAATAATACCAAAATAAAAAGACTCTCTGTATCCATTTCCTAAAAATAATTGTTATCCTTGAGTTTATGAAACGTTTATGGAAAAATCTGAATATTAAATACTTTCCTTCATTTGAGACTTCTTTTAAATTTTAAACAAGTGTTCATTGTATTTTAATGAGCATAGTCTTTTAACATCTTCTGGTGAGATGTTAAATATCTGAAATGGATGCTGAATTTTATCAATTGAACAACTGAAATGAGCAACTGAAATGTGCCTGATGTGACTGAGGAACTGGAACAGAAATTCCATTTAGTTTAGATACACATGGCAGGTGGCTGCCATACTAGGATATTTTAAAAAGTAAATATAGTCTAAAAGTCACTATTCAGAAATGTTAGTATTCATGTGGCCAAATACCTTCTAAAAGTAATGCCCACAAGAACTTCATATGTCTTCATAAAACAATACTGATTACCAATAAAGAGGCACATTTACATTAGCATGTTATTCCACTGTTCAAGTGCAAAATTAATTATGATAGATTACAACAGCACTTTAACTTCATAAACATCAATGCAGTAGATAAGAAAATAAAACAACTAGCCACAAACACTGATATTCTTGCTAGTCCAGAAACACTTGACTGTGTCTGCTGGAAACACAATTTTCTGACATAATTATATTATATCACATTCCAATTTTAAGATTGTTTTATACAAACTTTTATAGCAAGGAGTTTTATTTACAAAATAGGACTCTGTACCATAATTCTTACCAAAATACAAGTACTTAAAATTTTGTGTTCAACAAAACACGCAAATCAAATAGACATTCATTGATTCATACACTGGTACAAAAGATTCCATATGCCATGTGAAGATTTGAAAACTTTAATTATGCCCCCATCATTTCAAATGCATGACATATGACAGCAATTGACATTTTAAAATGCCAAGAATACAATTTTTTTTTACATAAGGTAAAAACAAAACACAATGCTATCTCTATAGGTTCTTACATAATGATACTGGGATAGGATTGGCTGGGGATTTAAGTATAATACCATCCAAGCAATCTATAAAACCATGAATGCCCTCTTACAAATTTCAAACCCAGAAAATTGGTGACAATTTAAGAATTCCCCTATCATTATTATTATTTAACCTAATTATCAATGTTCTAACCATTATAAGAGGAAATAAATGAGATATAAAGTTTATAAAGCATAAATAAAATTAAGATTTACTGAGGATAATCAGATTTTCTCTTTTTTTTTTTTTTTGGCAGTTTTTGGCCAGGGCTCGGTTTGAACCCACCACCTCCAGTATATGGGGCTGGTGCCAATAATCAGATTTTCTTCATGAAAATCTCTAATGAATCAACTAAAATCAAGGCAAACTAATAAGAATGGTCAATTCTCACTCAAAAGTTTTAACCACCAGCAATTATTTTTATACATTACTTACTTATTTTGAAACACATTAGGAATTATTTAAAAAACACATATTTAAATATACAAAAGTCCTACTTTATGAATTTTACAGTCTATTTAAAGGAGAGAGAAAATCCAAGAAAATAAATAAAAATGCGTACTATAAAGCCATTTAGAAAATATTACCAAAATAAAAGACCCTCTGTACCCATTTCCTAGAAATAACTGTTGTCTTTGATTTCATGGAATTTTTATGGAATAATCTGAGTATTAAATACTCTCATTAGTTTGAGACTTCTTTTAACTTTTAAGCAAGTATTCACTGTATTTTAATGAGACTTTTGTTGAGACATTAAAAATCAGAAATGGATGCTGAATTTTATCAACTGTTTAACTTTTTTTTATTTTTTACACTTGTTCGAAAGGAAAATAACAGAATGGCAAGGGGAATTGGTATTATACTCATTATTTAATCACTCATTATTTTAAAGTTTTTTTTAAAGCCACTATAGAAGAAAACTGGAAAATTACTAAGAAATGTAAAAGAAAACATGACTAAATGACACTTGTGTATAATGTAAAAATAATTTTTTTCAACTATATAGTATAGACTCATACTACAATCATACTCCTACTAATAGATCACTCCAAAGTTAGCAAGACAATTCTTTCTGAAAAAAATGAATTTGTAAAAACAAGTCAAAAAAGGGAGAATAATGAGTCAGCTTGCACTT